CCATTCTTTAAGCACCGGTTTGAGCACCGTTTGAGCACCGGCACCGTTTCAAAAGTACCGATTTGGCACCGGTATCAGATAAAACCTAAACGATACCCATCCCTATTCCCCTTGATAATAAACACGTTCATTTAGAAACTACATTTAGTGTTTACTTGTGTTAGCATTGTCTAATATTTAAATTTGTCTGATTATCTGAAACATTTAAGTGTGACAAACATACAAAAAAATAGGAAATCAGAAAGGGAGCGCACACTTTTTTACACCACTGTAACTTAACACAGCTAATTACTAGTGCTGTCAGCGTTACTCTCGTTAAAATGACGTTAATGCCATAACTGCATTAATGCGGCAAATCTCCGTTAGCGAGTCGCCCCGTGCGTGGGGCTGCATGCTGTCAACGCGTTAGTGTGGTTAGCTTGTTAATGCGGTTATGGCATTAAGATCTTTTTAACGAGAGTAACGCTGACAGCACTAGTAATTAGCTGTCAAGTGTCAGTGTAGCACTCAACTACACCATGCCTCTGTGAACTGTGGTGGTGGTTTTTTGGTTTCATTAATATCAGTTTAGGGTTCTTTTTCAGCAGAGATAAATGATAAAATGAGAATTATGAAAACCTCAACTTCAATGTTCAGATTGTTCACATTTAAATTTTGGAAATATGTGCAAATTGGCTAATATGTAGATATTATTAAAATCCTATTTCTGAAAACCTAATATCCCATAATAGTCTTAACTCTTTAGTCCTTGAAAGGCATCCATCCATTTGCTTCCGCTTATCCTTTTTAGGGTCGTGGGGGGGCTGGAGCATATCCCAGCAGTCTTAGGGAGAGGCGGGGCACACCCTGGATAGGTCGCCAGTCTGTCACAGGGCTAACACACAGACACAGACAACCAATCACACTCACATTCACACCTATGGGCAATTAACCTATCCACACTAACTGCATGTCTTTGGACTGTGGGAGGAAACCAGAGCACCAGGGGAGAACCCACGCAAACACGCAGCGAACATGCAAACCTCACACAGAAAGATGCCGGCCTGATTGTGGATTTGAACCCAGGAGCTTCTTGCTGTGAGGCAACAGTGCTAACCACCAAGCCTACTTGGAATAACCGTTGAAGTAGAGCAGGGCGATATGACCAAAAATATTTATCACGATATACATTTGAAAATTTGCGATAACGATGTACAGTGGGGCAAAAAAGTATTTAGTCAGCCACCGATTGTGCAAGTTCCCCCACTTAAAATGATGACAGAGGTCAGTAATTTGCACCAGAGG